CTCCAGTTCTGGGAAAATTGAGTACCACTAACCATCCCCACAGATGAGGGAAAAGGGCCACTGTCTTTTCCTCGGGGTGGGATTCTCTGAGCTGGCTGGCCTAGGAACTGGATCCCTTGATTTGGTGGAGAAGGGGTCTTTCATGGCATCTTTCACGGCTTGATCACACCCCAAGCCACTTCAGTATGCAATCTAACTGCTCTCAGAGAATACTTCAGGGGCAGGAATCCTGGCAATGTCAGTCTAAGTTTTACTGTTGTTGTTTAGAACAAGATCTGGTCAAAGAACGGGAATAAACTTGCTGTGGGATATACCATCTTCCTTGTTTCCTTCTCAATAAAAGTCTCTGTCTGTAGTATTTTAATGGCTAAAGAACATTTAACTAGCATATGTTAAACGCACAACTAACATTATACTCATTGGTGAAAAACTGAAAGCTTTTCTTCTGAGATTCGGTACAAGATAAATTTGGCCATTTTCACCACGAGGTAGAGCATTTAGGCAAAAGAGAGATATAAGAGGAGTCCTAACTGGAAACATAGAAGTAAAACCATCACTGTTTGCAGATGGCATGATAATAGTCACAGATAACCCTAATGATTTCATTGAAAAACTATCAGAAACAATAAATCACTACAGTAAAATAGCAGGCTAAAAATCAATATAGAAAAGTCTGTTGCATTCCTATGTTTAAATAGTGAAATAGAAGAGAAAGAAATCAAGAAAACAATCCCATTTACAACAGCATTATAAAGTACTAAATACCTAGGAATAAATCTAACAAAGGAGATGAAAGACCTGTTCAATGAAAACTATAAAACATTGTTAAAAGAAGTAGAGACACAAAGAAATGGAAAGATATTCCCTACTCATGAACTGAGAGAACTAACATTATTAAAATGGCAATCGTATCCAAATCTATTTATAGGTTCAACTCAATTCCTACCAAAGTTTCAATGGCATTCTTCAAAGAAATAGAAAAAACATTACTGAAATTTATATGGAACCACAAAGATACCTGAAAAGCCAAAGCAATCTTGACAAAAAAGAATGAAGGCACCATATTCCCACACTTCAACGATACCACTAGGTTATAGTAATGAAATTAGTATGATATTGGAATAAAAATAGACACACTAACCAGTGGAACTAAACTGAGCCCAGAAAAAATTCACACTTATGTGAACAACTAGTGTACAACACAAATGAGTATACAGTGGAGAAAGGAAAGTCTCTTCAGGAAAACATTGATAAAACCAGACAACCACATGCAAAAAAAAAAAAAAATTGAACTAGACCGTTCTTTCATGTAATTAAAAATTAACTCAAAACGGATTATAAACTTGGATGTAAGACCAGAAACCACAAAATATAAAGATGAAAACATAGGCAAAATACTCAGCAACTTTGTTTTCAAGGATGTCATATGGGACTCAACTCCAATAGCAAAGGAAACAAATGCAGAAACCAATGGGAATGCATGAAACCAAAAATTTTGCACAGTCAAAGAAACTATCATTAAAAGAAAAAGACATTCTATCTAATGGGAGAAAATATTTGCACAGCTAATCAAACAAGGGGTTAATATCCAAGATCTATACAGAACTCATACAACTCAACAAAAAGAAAATAAACAACAATCAAAAACTGGGCAAAAGGGGCCTCCCTGGTGGCTCAAGGGGTTAAGCACCGCACTATGAAGCAATCCGCAGCCTCTGCAGCACGAGTTCCATCCCCGGCTGGCCAATGAGCAACCCACATGGCACAGCAGACCTCTCCTGTCTCGCCCGCTCCTCCCCTCAGCAGTGTACTTCAGTCAATCTGCCTGTTCTGCTCCCCACTCTGTCTCTGGTGAATCCTCTCACTCCACGCATCTCTGGCTTGTGCCCCAGCTCTTATATGCATAAATAAATAAACATTTTTTTAAAAACTGGGCAAAAGAACTAAATAGACATTTCTCTAAATAAGACATTTATTTTTTACTAATTATTTATTCATATATCTATATTATACATCATTGTTCATTTTTGTACAATGTGTGCTTGTATGCTTTCTCCTTTTAGGTGTAGTCCCTGTAAAATTCTCACCACCAATTCACCTGTGAACCATCATAGTAGTCCCTTGCACTCTTCTCTCCCATTTTCCATCCCTCTTCTTCCCTCTCCCTTGCAGAATGTCTCTGATTTATGGTTGCCCGCTAATTTGGTTTTAATTTATTATTATGTTATTATTTTTTCCCTGATCTCTTATTTAGTTCCCTTATATTCCTCCTATAAGTGAAACCATCTGATATTTTTTTTTTCTTTTTCCTTCTGGCTTATTTCACTGAGCATAGTCCCTTCTAGTTACATCTATATGCTGTGAATGGCATGAGTTTATTCTAAAGAATCATTTAGACGGCCAATAGGCACATGAAAAAATGTTCAACATCACTAATTAGCAAAATGCAAATCAGCCACAATGACATACATCCTCACTCCTGTGAGAAAGACCCATATCAATAAAAGCCGAAACAATAAATGTTGACAAAGGTGTGGAGGAAAAGGAACCCTCATAAACTGTTGGTGGGTGTAGGGTAAATGGTTTGGTAAATGGTTTTCAGGCTTTTCTGCCCTCCCACTATTAGGATTGCCCTGCCTGATGGGGTACCTGCAGTTGTTACAACTGTCTTGTTTACTTCTGTGGGCCATGGGTGAGGTATTGAGGTAGTCACCAACAGGAGCAGAAGCAGGAGAGAGAAGGGGAGAAAGAAGGCCTGAGAAGGCCAGAGTGAAGACTTGCACCCCTGCCTGCTGTGTACCTGGTTGCTGCACTACATGTAAAAGCTCAATAAAAGCCTGAGAAACCCACCGAGGGCTCCAGGACTCTCCTTTACCGGTCTGCTGGAATCATAGAAAACCTTCTCTGTGGCCATCCTGCCCCTACAGTGGGAATGTAAACTGGTGTAGCCCTTATGGAAAACAATATGGAAGTTCCTTAAAATATTAAAAATAGATTAACCATATGACCCAGCAATGTCACTCCTGGGTATCTACCTTAAGAATGCAAAAACACAAATTCGAAAGGATATGTGCACTTCAATGTTCACTGTAGAATTATTTACAATAGCCAAGCTATAGAAATAGCCTAAGTGCCCAAAGATAGATGAGTGGACAAAGAAGATATACAGGATCGAATACTACTCAGCTATAAAAATAGATGAAAATTTGCCATTTTTAACAACATGAATGGAACTGGATAGAATTATACTAAGCTAAATAAATCAGGAGATAGACAAATACCGGATGATTTCACTCATACATGGAATATCAAGAAACAAAGCAAAAGAACAGACAAAACTAAACCAAAACAAACCCTAGCAATATGACTGCAGAATTAAGGCTACTAAAGTGAGAGGATAGGGGTAGAAAACAAAGGGGGAAGGGTGTCCAACAGGTACTTTGGTGGTGGGTGTGTAACATACATCTGAAGAGTTGTGAATATAGCCCCCTAAATCATATCTTCATTATTTGGACATTTTTTTAAAAAGTGTGCATTTTCCTGTATTTACTGCAGCACTATTTATAGTAGCCAAGCTATGGAAACAACAACCTAAGTGCCCCCAAACAGCTGAGTGAATCAAGAAGATGTGGTATATATACACAATGGAAAACTTTTGAGCAATCAAAAAGGTAAACCTATGCATTTGTGGCAATATGGATGGAACTGGAAGGGATTATGCTAAAGGAATTAAGCCAGGAGAAAGACAAATACCAAATGATGTCACTAATATATGGAATATAGAGAAAGCAAACAAAGGGTCAGACAAAGACAAACTTTAAAACCAACCCTTGAAAGTTGACCATAGAGCCAAGGCATCCAGTGGGGAGGGAGAAAAATGGGGGAAAGAACAAGGTGGGGAGAGAGCACAACGGACCATGGAGAAGGACTATGGGCACTTTGGTGGTTGAGTACGCTATAGTGACTTCACCTGTGGGGGTAAATCCTATACTTCCAAAACACTAACAAAGATGTAAACCAATGGAACTTCAATAAAAATATTATGCACGATGATATTTTAATGTTAAGTGGGCAAAACCAAGATAAGGTATAACCACAGAACACAAAAATTAGATAGGAAAAAAAGATCAGAATGAAAAGTTGAAATGGGTAGTCCTTGATTTCAGTTTTTCTATTCTGTATTTCCCAAACTTTATGAAAATGGAATAGTTTTATAAAGAAAAAAATGCATTTTTAGGTCTTTCTTTTTTTTTCTGCCATAGAAACGTTTCCTATACAGAACATGTGCCCTTTTCTGAGCCTTCATTTATTCCTCCATAAAGTGGAGTGGGAGACTGACAGACAAGGAGGTCTTTAGAAATCTTTCCAATTTTGCTCTGCAATGTTTTAGAGCCAGAATCACTGGACTATCTGAGCTGCCCAGTTTCTTTGCAAATTGAAGTCTAACAGCTATCAATCGGCCAGATTTTCCAATTTTCCTTTAATATGATTTATATTATTTTATCATGAAAAAGTAATGTATGTGTCATTGGCTCTAGGGCACAGTTAGAGTGGAAAGAGGGAGTTTTTAGAAAGGAAAATGGAATAAATCCCCAAACAAGATCTTGAGTGGAGTAAAAATATAACTGTTGTAGAAAGACAAATACATTAGAATATGTAAATTAAGAAAAACACCTAGAACAATTCCATGTATCACTTATGAAGTGAAATGATACCCATTAAATTCATCTTTGCTTTTGGGAATGTATGTCGAGGAATGGAACAGGAAATAGGGGACAGAATTTAACTTGTCTATAAATGTTTCATTTCTCTCATTTGAATAATTTTTAAAGCAAACTTTATGTTAAAAATGGTAACGGGACCAAACGCCCAGCCTCCTGGCCCGCGGTGTAGGGGCCACTGGCCCTCGAGCCGCTGCGGCGCCTGTCTTTCCAAAAGATCTCATATCTTTGCCCAGAAGACTGGACGCCAGGCCTGTTGACTGACCCTCGGCTTCACAGAACACTGGGCTCTCAGGAAGAATCGCATCCGTGGGCAGCCTGCCCCGCCTGCTGCGGCAGTGTGTGCTGGGCTGCCGCCCGCATGTGTTCTCCTGGCGGGCCACCAGCAGCAGAGCCTCCCTCACACGCCTGCACTGGCAGAACTACGCACGCCTCTACCCTGTGCTCTTGGTCAGGCAGGATGGTTCCACCATCCACATCCGCTACCAAAAGCCGCAAAGGATGCTGGTGATGCCTGTGGACCTGGACGGCCTGTCCCCAGAGGAGCGGCGGGGGTGGTTCTGGAAACGTGAGGCCCAGCTCCGCGTGAAGAAGGAGGAGGAGCCGGTGCTGGGCGAAGACTTTCACGAGGAGTGGTACAAGCAGTTCTGGACCAAGAAGTGATGGCCTGCAGGCCTCCGGGCTGGGGGCCCCATGGAGGTGGGAGGGGTCTTAAAGCTCGCCTTTTCAAAAAAAAGAAAAAATGGTAACAGGGCCTCCCTCATGGAGCAAGGGGTTAAGCACCACACTATGAAGCAATCCGCAGCCTCTGCAGCAAGAGTTCGATCCCAAGGCCGGCCAGGGAGAAACACACATGGCGCAGCAGACCTCTCCTGTCTCGCCCACTGCTCCCCTCAGCAGTGTATTTCATCAGTCTGCCTGTTCTGTTCCCTGCACTGTCTCTGGTGAATCCTCTCACCCTCATGCCTTTCTGGCCTGTACCCCAGCTCTTGTATGCATAAATAAATAAATCTTAAAAAAATAAAAATGGTAACAGAAGTTGTTATGAAACATGAATAAGGTCTAAAGATCTGCTGTATAACATAGTACCTATAGTTTTTGTATTGTACACTTAAAAATTTAAGTCTTGCATTTTACGAAAATTAATGTAATCAGAGGGCATTATGCTAAGCAAATTAAGTCAAAAGGAGATAGACAAATACCAAATGATTTCACGCATATGTGGAATATAAAAAAAACAACAAAGGAATAGACAAAAACTAAACTAAAATCAAGTCCAGAAATATGACCACAGAACTGAGGCCTCTAACAGAGGAGGTGGGGTCATAGGAAACAAAGGGAGGAGGGGCGGGAGCTCAGTGGTTTATGGTGGAGGATTATTCATGCTTGTTAGGTGGGTGTAGTGTGGTAATATACATCCAACAGGATGAGAACCTATCCACACACAACCCCTCCTCCGCCCCACCCCCAGCAATCATTCACCCTGCTGTAAGCCAATGTTGTCTCAATCTTTTAAAAAAGTGTGAAAGTGAATAAATGCTATTCATTACTTTAAAAAAATTTAAGTGGGTAAATATGTTAAACTTTTATCACAATAACATGTTTACTACAATAAAAAATGTTACGTTTGTCAATTCTAAGTAGAGAGCCAGATGTTTGTTATGTTATTGATTCTCGGTGTTTTTCAGTATTTGTCTAATGATTCAAAATAAAAATATAAATCATTTTTAAAGGCAAAGGGTTGAATTGTTTCTTTTCTAAATTTGCAACGTGTATATATAGATGATTTTGATAAATGATAAGTGAATTTAGTCTCAAATCTAGGAGAATATAAAAAAGAATAGGACAAAGAAATGAAAGAGCGGAGGGATGGGAGGGTGTCGCTGGGATAAAAGAGAGAGACCCTGGGAACCTTAGGAACTTTTTGCCCAAAAATAACTGACAAATTCATGTTCTAGACCATAAGCCAAGGATTTAAAGAATGGATCTACTAGATGGGAGCTCCTAGGTGTTCCATCTCCCACCCCCCACCACATCTACTTAAAACTCCACTGTTACACTGATTTTTCTCCAGATAGAAACTTCCAGTGAGTTTCCACTAATTGCCTAGTTTTGGGGGGACAAATTTTCCATCTCTACTTTCAAGGTGACTGTTACAGCACCACAAATTACCTTCTGCTATCCCTTCTTGAGCCAAATTCCTAGTGGTTTCTAGGAATCATATAGGAAATATGGTTCTCTGAATTTATTCCCTCATAGTAGTCAGCTCACAACATTTCTTAAAATGTCCACATTTACTTACAAAAGCTGATCCTGCCGAAAATAGAACTTTTCATTTTCCCCCTGCTGTACTCCCCCAAGCAAAATCCCTGTCATAGTTAGAAGTCAATTTATCTCCCTAACGCTGAAATCTCAGTCATCTTTGCTGTTTGCTGCATTATGATTGACAACAGAATCCATTTGCTTTGATCAAGTCAGTATCTCCTGATTTCCCCCATGGCCCCTTTTGTCAGCCATTTCCCCCCAGTTCGTCCAGCTTTTTGTTGGCACCTCACAATATTAATATGGTAATGGCTCTTCCCACTCTGACCCTCTGTCATGACCAGGAGTCACAGTCTGTCTTAGTTGATGATGTAACTGAAGTGCTAGCTCCACGCTTCGCTCTCTAAAGGTTGCAGTGACCTTGCATCCAGCCACATAATATGCCAGGGAAGCAGCTGAAGTCAAACAAGGTATGGATATGGGGCAACATCAAGGGAAATGTAGAAGGCACTGCTGGTGAGGGAGGGTTTTGGGAAGGTGGTGAGGGAGGGGATAGTGTTAAATGGAAAAGATAAGCCCAGGCTTCAGGTGCTTGGGAGCAAGAGTTCCCTTATCTCACTTTTCAAAGAGACACTGACAGCACCATCTAAGGAAAGGAATCAGGGCCTTGTCTGTAATTATCAATCTGCCCTGATTTACAGTGGGGTACTGGGAAATTCACTTTAAAGTATCTGAGACTCAGTCTCCCCATCTGCATCCCATCAGCATCCTCCTCTGGGCCGGCCCACTGTGGTCAATGCTACCTTACACCACGTGCCCTCCAGTATTGCAGTGCTGTAAGTAGATGATGTGGAACAAGGAGAAGTTCATTATAAAGGGACTTCTACAGGGTCACTGGGAGTGGGGTTAGAGCCACGCAGATCAGAGAAAGGCAGAGAAGTCCAAAAGAAGAGAAGACAAAATAACGAGCATACACAGGATCACATTTTTCCTTTCAGTGCTTATTATGCCAAAATAGTTCTCATTTAAGAGGCATTCTGGCCAGGGCCAGGGTGGGGGGTGGGGGAAGTTGGACCAAAATAGGGGTGAGAAAAGCACAAGGGACTATGGTGATGGTACATGGGTGAATTGGTGGTGGGAATTCCAGGGGGACTATATGCAAGATGATAAGGCATACATTGTATAAAAATGAAGAATGATGTAAAAAATACATAAAATAAAAAATAAATTTTAAAAAAAGGATCAATTTGAGGGTGCGCTTGTCCTGTAGGTGGCCTGTAGGCTTGTCCTGTAGGAGGCGAGGCTATGCATTCTTCAGCTTAATAAAATGTATTTTCAGAACATAAAAGATCTCCTTTCTTGGTATTAGCTGCATCCACTTAGCCCCCCATTAACCAATGGTATTCACTGGGAGATAAGGAAGTTATACCTGAGGGTAGAATAGTAGAGCTGAAAATCAGAGGGGAGAGATGAATCTACTGACCTGCTTTTTAGCATCTTTCAGTGGTAGGCTAGAAGTGACTTGACCTTGATGAATCATGAATCATTGGGGTCAGCAATATCATGATATCATCACCTTATCTGGACAATAAACAAATGGATCTTTCCATTTATTCAGGTGCTAAATATATGTACATGTAGCTACTAAAGAATTATTGAAATAGGACAAAAATAACAGTGGCTTACAGGAAAAGGGTAAGCTCAATGGCAAGGAAGTCTTATTCCAGGTTCTCTTTCCAGATCTGTATAACAGTATCCTAATCCTTTGGTCCTTCTGCTTGACTGGAAACTAGTGTCTACAAAATTAAGTGGCATATTTGTAGCTATCTTCAGAGACAAAGTGACAAATTGGAATTTTGGCTAATCCCACTATACCATCTCCATATCTGTGAGTAACAGACCAGACATACTCACCTCCTCCCCATAAATACACATATGGAAGGATATAGGTGAGCCATGGATTTGGGTTATATAGCATGCCTATCACGCTCTTTACAGCCTAACTCCCAAAATGTTTCTTTTTCAGATGAATATGTGTTTTTGTTTAGGTTTAAGTAAAACCACATAAATCTGAAAAACTCACTGTTGCACTGGCACAATTTCCTTTCCCTTCGTCTATGTAGTAAAACGGATTTGACAATGTCACTTATGAAACATCTTAACATGTCACAGCCACTGTTTGGCTCATACAGAGTTTGCTGGAAAACAATGTGACATATACCATACATACAGCACCCATTCAATAGACACTTAGCACACCTCTTCCCTTGCCAAGCGGCACAGTACATAGGCAGCCCATAAAAACAAGCAGAGAGATGTACACACAAATGCAGAGAACCAGTAAGGGAAAAGTTATTGAACTTCCTCAATAAGAGATTGAGAACAGGGCCTCCCCAGTGGCGCAGCAGTTGAGCGCTGGGTTGCGAAGCTGCCCGCAGCCTCTACAGCGCCAGTTCGATCCCCGGCTACAGGGCGAGGGTCCCACATGGCGCACAAACTTCTCCTGCCGCCCGCTGCTCCCCTCAGCAGTGTACTTCGTCTGTCTGCCTGTTCTGCTCCCCGCTCTGGCTCTGGTGAATTCTCTCACCCTCCCATGCTTCTGACTGTACCCAGTGCTTGTATAAATAAATAATAAAATCTTAAAAAAAAAAAAAAGATTGAGAACACTGAATCTTCATTGAGGACAACCCTGCAAGTCTAAGCAAAGAGAGATTTGAAGAGTAACAGTTATGCCAGTGCACAAAGAAGCTATGTAGCAGGTATACTGCCTCTCTGAGTTTTGGGCCAAAAATGCCTTCTAGTCAACACAGAGCATGATGAGGACAGATCTCTTTCACAAATGCCCCCTGACCTGGTTGAGCATGCTAGAAGCCTCAAGGATCAGAACATTAGGGCCACCAAGATGCCAAATAAACCCCAGATTCCACAAGCTGAATGAATACCCTTTTCATAACCTATCTTTTATGTCAACATTTCTTCACTTGATGGTTACTTCTTAGTCATAGAGGTGGGGATTTGTTGCTATGAATAAGCAAACTTCTTCTCAATAGGGAAGACTTTCCCTTTACCCAAATGGAGTGATATATGATATAGCAATCTGCAGCATGTTATTCCACCTCTCTTATAAGAGGAAGAAACTTGGTTAACACTATGGTACAGTTTCTACCCTCTCTACTGGGTCCTTACCATCCAACTGAGTTCCATGTGCCCATATCTCTCTAGAATTCATGGCACCTTAGCCTTTGGAACCAAACCCAGTTGTAGACCTCAGATCCAACAACCAAGTCCTTGTCTTATTCCACCTGTTACAGTATATATTCCCACCCTATAATTCTTATAGGACCAAGCTACCTTCCCCACTCTCAGATTTCCTAGAACAGTGACAGAAATGTTCTACATAT